CAGAGAACATTGTATACATGCTTGTAAATGTGGTCGTTATCATAATGTGAAATTAGCTTAGGAGTAAAAATACTGAGGTAGTAATTAACAAATATGAAAACGTCACGACATAGAAAATTCACTGAGGAACACAATGCAAAAAACAACATGAAAATCCGTCAAGCCATAGTCATGCAAGCATCGTGGCAAGCTGGACAGTCGGGTCAAAACACATTTCTGAGAAAACTGGCGTTAAAGTTGAACAGTCAGTAAAGGTCCATCAAAATGCCCCAGGACTGTAATACTTTGTGTCTTTGCTTGCGAGGGTCTTCTTACATCCTTTCTCTTTCATTTTTTCTGCACTGCGTGCTTTTTGTTTCCTTTGCTGGTCTTTTTCTTGAGCTCTTTGAAGGGCGAGGCTAGCAGGTTTGATGCCCACGGACTTGCACATTTCAGTGTAGGCTCGCAAATTCCCAAAATTGTAGCGTGCAACTGCTTCATGTACTGTTGTCTCCACTGCGAACAATGAAGCGTGTTGGTCCTTTGAAGTCAGTGACCAAATAACTGAATGCAAGCTTTTCGCCGCATTCTGAGTTTTGTTGCCTTTGCATCGCTCCAACAGTTGCGGGTCAGAGAAACGTTGGTATACAGGCAGCAGAGCCTCCGCTACACGTTTCGACAGGTTATACCTGTGAGGTGGTGCTGGCTCCATTTTGGCCTGTGCTGAACGATGTTTGCACCAGCTATCAGGGCCAGGTGGGCAGAGCTCATGGTGAGGCTCGTCGTCGGTGGACGTGACGTGATAAAAAGTGGCCATCACGGCCCTTTGCATGTCAGGGACACTTGTGTGTTTTCGCAAGGCTAACCCGTAGTAGCTGGTCAGTTTTTTAATCAACTCCTGCGTCAGTCCACCTCTCCCACCCAATGGCTCCCCTTTCTTAGCTCTTGTCACCAGTGTGCGGAGAGCGGTGCCCATTCTCTTCTGCACATGGCTCACGCAGTCTTCTTTGGTCAGTGGTATGAAGCCGTACACCTCATCTTTGCACAGAGCAAGATAGGTTCGGCTGTCACCATCACATATAATGTTGGTGTAGCGGAGGCCATACCTGCTGACAGAGCGCCTGAAAAGTGTCAGAGCAGCCTCCACTTCCATCTGTCCGGAGCCAACATCAGTATTCTTCTGACATTGATGTTTCTCAGCCCAAGTGACGAAGTTGGGGTCGCTCTCTGCTGGTTGTTGACAACACCCAAGACAGAAGTTGAAAAGGACTGTGCAATCCAGCACAAGCCCCGTGTAAAACTCAATAATACATCCTACCCCAATGTGTGAGCTGTGGCCTCTTGTAAGCCACGTGCCGTCATACACAACTGTGATGTTGTTTGGGCTTGATGGCTGCATCTTACTGTACACGTCTTTTACCGCAAGCACAGCATCTGCAAAGATGTTTTGTGCAGCTTCCTCTGCTCCTGGTTTGAATGTTTTTTTTAGGTGTTCCCGATAGGTTTTTTGATGAATGCCCCGATGAGAGACATTCATTGTAGCCCAGAAGTCATTCAGGGCATTGGGCCCTTTTCCAATGGACTTGATTGCTTGCATGGCTCTTAGGTTGACTTCAAAAGCCCTTCCTTCGGATTTTCTACTGGATGACCAAGGTGAATGAATAGGGCCACAGGAAGCACACAAAAGTACCAGTTTTACTGCCAGGCCCAATTTTGTCCCATGCTGCACTGACAAAGTCTTCTTACAACATTTTGGGCAGAGTGCAGGTCCTATTAGGGAATTCATGGCAGAAACCTGAATTAGGGTGAACTCATCCTCTTTTGTTGCCGATGTTTGCTCCGTTTGCTGCGCGAACCCGAACTTCCGCTCCGTTGCCGACACCTCGCGAAGTGCATCGCGGACACTGCTGGCTTGCTTCTCGGCGCCTTCCGAGGACACGAAACGAGGTTCCAGGTGTATTTGAACAGTGCGCTTCCGCTGAGGCAAACGATCGCCGACATCCTGGACAGCTGGCACCACGTCGTCGTCCGCCGCCGCGAAAACGAAACTTTTCTCGCGTTCACACCGCACCGTGATGCCACGGCTAGTTGATGGCCCCGGGTCTTCAGTGTCACTGCCAGGCGTCGATTCACCGTCACTTTGAACAGCCGGCACCGCATCGTCACCCGCCGCAGCGAAAACGAAACTTCTTTCGCGTTCGGGCCGCACCGCAACGTCGCGGCTAGTTGACGGCCCCGCGTCATAGGCCTCACTGCCGAGCATCGGCAGCGAGCAGGTGTCGGCTTCCGACGACACGTAGCTTGGTGGCGACGCGGTACTCGGTTCGTCTGATTCAATCGCTGCTGACTGCTTCGTTTTCCCAACAGGAGGCTTGCGTTTACGCTTCCCGTAAGCGTACTTCGTCCGGTATTTCGTCCTGCGCTTCCGGTCCACGCGACGATCCATTGCGGGCGCTAAGCCTCGCGCTAGAGAAGAGTTGGCGTATCGGCGACCGTATCGGCGTATCGGCAGGGGATTCGCAAACTATAGACGACCAGCGCAAGCAAGCGCGTCCCAGCAGCCACTCACAGAGCGCGCTCAGTACCACGTGACAGGAGCGACCAATGGGTGCGCGTCTAAGGCGTCGCGGATGCCTTCGCATTTTTTCTGTTTGTGCGTTTATCTTAGCTCGTAGAGTCGTGGTTTCACTGGGAGAAGTACGGCAGTGAAGCAAGCTTTCCAGTGACACCAAGCTTTCCGCGAGCGGCGGCGAAGGCGCGGAAGTATCGCGCTCGAAAATGGGCCATTTTCGCGCAGATTTCAGCCAGCTTTTTGCGATCCGCGGTCAGAAAAACATTTTTTAAGCTTACTTTGAGATCGTTTTCGGCGGAAATAATTTTAGATATGATAGAAATGGTGATGCAGAATCCAAATCTGTCCTTATCCAAAATTCGTTTTTTTGCGAGAATTTCGCGATTTGATCCCCGCGTCCCCCCTTAAACCACCGCTGTACCTTTCATGCTCTGCAACTGTCTTAATAATATTTTTATTCTATATTTAATTTATTTTTAAAATACTACAGATGAAAAGTCCAAGCAAGGTGAGCAAGATACATAATAATAACAGAAAACAAGGTTGTGAAGTGTCACTCTGGAATATGGGGGCCCCAACGTAACTGCTGTTTAGTACTGATGCGGTAAGCCAGGTGTAGGACAAACCTGTGTTGAACATATTTCTGCAAGCCCTTCTCATGTTTGTAATGATGACGCGCGAGTCCTGGTCTGAGGCAGCTAGCGTGATGGTGACCTCCTCCACATGTGTTATGTCTAGTGCTCTGAATCTGACGCCATTCACTGCAACTTTTTTGTGGATGACCGTGTATCCCCCCCTTGGTGAGGGCTACAGGCATTCACGTAAAATAATCCGTGTTTGTTCCCATAGTGGCAGGCCGGTGCCTCCACCCACGCAAGGCACATGCCACTGTGGTGGTTACATGTCATGTTGGCCAGAACAGGGCGAAAGTGCAGAGCATATCTCTAGACTTCTAGGATACGAAAGCGCTCTTCCACCTCTGTTGGGTAGTGGATGTGTGGTTAGGCTGGTAATTAATAGTATGCAAGCCATGCAGCAGAAAGATGACTGCCGCATAATTCTTCTTTTGAATAAGACATATCATGAAATGACACTGAAGATATGTACAAATGTTATACACGCACACACACACACACTGATGAGTCAATCACCTAACCTTATTTAGGCAACATCCTGTTTGTCCTATGTAACTGCACTCGCACGTTAAAGGCAATCTGTAGACAACACCCATTAAGCATTCTACAATATTACTTTCGCCTTTTACCACACATGCCTGTTTGTTTATACTCGACATCTCACTAATTAAGGCACTTGTCCGTCAGTCTACCAAGTTAAAAAAACCTTGAACGAGGTTGATAAAACCATTTCAACACAATCTAGGCCCAATTTTCTTTAATCCATGAGATATATGTTGCAAATATGAAATAAAACCACTCTTTGCTTTTTTTCCTGTCTTACTTGTTTCTCCTGGCTCTGTTGTTTCACTCTCTGCAAGCACTTTTCACACACTGATGAAATGGCGAAATTCGGAACACCCGCTATGAAGAACCGGTCTGCTAGCACTTTCACATTGTTGGCTGCCAAAAAGACAGGTGAAGCAGCTGCTCTTTTTTAATGACTGGAGACATAATTTAGCACAGGCAGTTTAACACTCCCTAGCTGGTGCTTCTGACCAAAATAATTTGGAAATAATATGTTTTGTTCAGGAACCTCACACGTGAAAGTCAACCCCCTTATCAAAGGTAGTGCCAATGAAATGTTCAGACAGGTCATTTTCATTTCTATTTGTGACTGCACGAAAATCAGGTATTTATTGGTGCCAACCTTTGCTTCAGGCTGCATATGTGTTAGACTGCCATAAAGAAAAACAAGGCAGGCAATTGCAGAGGCATTAGGAAAAATGACAGCAAATGCTAGGCTTAGGTTGCTTTGCATGAAAATAAAATCACACTTTTCAATCTTGTGTTTCTTTGTCTTCCTTCCATCTCGGCAGTGTCTTCTTCCAGCACTCGATAGAAGTTCTTGAAAACCATCTCCCAAACATTTCCATTCTTTTTAAATAAAATCACCATTAGATAGGAGGAAAACCACTATATTATTTTGCCGTGCAACTGCCACACAAGGGTAGCAATTAAAGCTCTGCTTGGCATTACAACTGGGCCTACATTCATGCCTCGTGCAAGCCGTGTGATCATGCATGTCATCACTACCCATGCCTAGAGAGACCTTCTTTTCTACCGGACTGCAGTATCTGCGCATTGTCACCAGCCTGAGAAGACAAGTGCTGCTGCGGCGGCAGGGACACACATAAGTGCAGTGTGCACAGCTTAAGCAAAAAAAGGAGGCCGCAATCACAAAAGGTACAAGGGGCGGCTGAGGAAAAAAACCACAAAACAATAGGACCATGCCATGGGACCTAAGGCCAAGCTCTTCTCTGCGTGACACCCACCTGTTTCCGTGGACGTGTGAGGAGCAGAAGGCGAAGCTATAGTGTATGAGTGTGGGGTCAATCATGAGGCCCTTCTCGGCACGAGTGAGCAGGTCCTGCAGGTAGCATAGGTGGCGGAAGCAGCTGCGCACGCAGTAGCGCGCTGCATACTCGTCCAGCACAAACACCTGGCCAGGGCTAAACCAACCCTGCAGCAGAAGAGGAAACAGAGCTGCATCCATGGAAGAGCGGCAGCGAGCGAGGGGCGAGCGCACCAGGGAGCAGTAGGGGTCGCCCAGTCGGTAGTCCAGGGTCAGAGTCTGCAGCATGCGGAACAGGCCGTGGTGGTCGAAGCGGTTTGGGTCGGCCGAGATGAACTCGTCCATACCGTGCTTGCGCGCCCGCTCCGTGTCTGCATCGGGAGGGGGAGTGAGCGGGAGGGAGAAGGGGCAGCAGCCAGGTGACGCTTACCCCCTTGCATTCGTGAAATGGTGGAGTTCTTGCTGGCCAGTGGCTGGATGAGGGGTGTGGGCTTGTGCGACTGGCCCGTGGCCCGGTACATGGCCATTACCCAGAGGTGGCACTCGTTTTCATCCTCACTCGCAAAAGCCACGCTGTCCCCTTCCCGCACAGCATTGAAGAAGAAGCGGCCACCCTCCAGCTCTGCACAGGGATGAAACAACTGCTCCTACCTGGTTGGCTGGACATGCAATGCCCACCTGTGAGTGCCTCCGTGTAGTCGACTGTGTAGCCATCCAGTTGAAGCAGCTCAGTGGGCACGGATGTTTTTTCTCTGAAGCTACACATGGCAAACGTGTACTGTGAAACCTGGAAACATGGGAGAAGTCACTTCTCAATCATCAACTGACAGAACAGGAGCACATTGACATAAAAAGCGCAAAGAGCGTTGCTTCACATTTTTCAAAAATGTGCGATGCTTCCTCATGTTCACAACTTGCCATTGGTTAAAAACTGTTAATAAAGATTTTTCATTGAATGCGCTGGCAAAACAATCAGCAGTAAAAGTACTACAATCTATCAAAACTCACCATGACTAAGCTTGTGCGAATAATGAATTTTAGGTTTGAAGCAAATAGTGATTTTGGTCCAATAATTTTTCCTGAGAAAAATCTAGATAAATTCCAAAAATTAAAAAAAATTAACATAATTGTTATGACCTAACTAGCCTACACAATATATATATTCTTTTCATTTGAAACAAGGCTAGTGCAAATACCATTCTTTTTATTTAAAGGAAGTGCAAAGGCCTTTGAATAGTAGCAAGATTTGACATTTGGTAGAATGCAAGTGATAACCCGTAACATATGTTCATTTTTAAAATATATGATACTTAGAGCATATGAGCCGGTATAAAAAGCTTTTAAAGGGTTTCTCACAAGATTTGACAATATTGAGTTGACTATTTTGAGCTCACAATCATGTCTGCCAAAACTGACAATGCTGCACGCCTCCAAAATCGGTCGGATTTAAGCTGAGCATAGCTTGCCCTCCTTCTCGTGTGCTCGCACCTAGAGAATGAGGGGATGGCATAGCTGCGTAGACGGTAGTACTATGACGTCAGCCCTCTACATCGACTGAGCTCTGACATCGCCAATAGTAGCACGTGACACGTGAAAAGTATTCAACACATGAGTAGTTTGTGCAATTCGTTGCTTGAATAGGTTAATGGAACTTGACAGAAACAATGAGACACACAAAGAAAATATTGCCACGTTTCTTTCCTCAGCTTTTGTTACGCCCCGTTACACTATGTTCTGTGCAAACCGCATTTGCGGTGTTAGAGAAGCTTCGAGGCTGTAGCAGATCGTTTTGTTAAGGTTTTGCCCACTTCGTGAACCTTTCAGATTATTCTGGAACCTACATCGCCACTAGCAATAATGCTACAATGTTCTATGGCAAATGTATAAATGCCAACACGCTTCGCTGCTTTTCAGTTGATCGACGGCCAATGCTCTGTTTACCGCTATCAGTACCAGTGTCTTTCCTTTTGCGTGGCCACAAGTTTGGCTCGAATAAACAGTTTTTTCTTCGACATGGAGTCTGCTCCCTTCGTTCACGTCACGACCCTGTGACATCTGGCAGAGGTGCTGCTTCGTTCATGTACCGGACATACCCGTCAAGCCACGAACCCAGCCCACGTCGCGAAGAAGACACCAACGCTAGCCATGAGCACCGAACAAGCTGCAGGCAGCAGGGTTTACCTCCGGAGTACGGGCTTCTATAGGACAAGGCTCTGAAGAACAAGGCCATGACCTCGACCGCGACAACGATGACGACTGCTGCGCCACAGCCAGCGGTAGTGATGCGGCAGCCAAGGGCACCACCGATTTTTCGTGGTTCATCGTTTGAAGTCCCGGAGACCTGGCTAAAGGCCTATGACCGAGTGGCCGCCCTCAACGACTGGGACGCGGAAGAGAAGCTCCGTCGCGTCTACTTTTATCTGGAAGACGCAGCAAGGACATGGTTCGAGAATAGGGAGTCTGCACTTCAAACGTGGGATCTTTTCTGCGACGCATTCTTGCAAACGTTCGCCAGCGTCACTCGTAAAGAGCAGGCTACTGTGTTACTGGAGACCCGGATGGCGCCGCTTAATAGAAATGTCACCATTTTCACTGAAGAAATGAACCACCTCTTCTGCCGCACTGACCCCAAGATAATTGAGGATAAAAAGGTCCGTCTGCTTATGCGAGGAGTCAAGCAAGAACTCTTCGCTAGGCTGATCAGGAACCCCCCAAAGACAGTCACTGAATTCATTTTTGAAGCATCTACGCTAGAGAAGACGCTTGAGATACGGCCATGGCAATACAACCGTAGCTTCTCGTCTACAAGCTAGGCCGATATCCAAGCGCTAGAAACCACAGACTTGCGTGAGACAATCCGAGTGATCACACAAGAAGAGCTGTGAAAATTGCTTCCTTCTGCGCAGCCTTGCGTGGACTACATCGTAGACGCAGTACGCCAGGAGACCCAGAAATAGCTGCGCCTTTCTCAGCCTCCAGAACCGCAGCTGCAAGTAATGAGCTATGCTGCTGCAGCCCACCGTAACGCCCCTCCTCCACGCCCACACCAGGACGCTGCCCCATCGCACTTCCGTTGCCAGACACCACTGCCGCCACCACCAACACCGATGTCTTACTTTTCACTAGCAGGACAGCACAGCGCACCAAGGAAGACCGATGTTTGACGCGCACCTGACAATCGCCCACTCTGCTACCACTGCAGCGAGGCCGAGCACACCTACCGCCATTGCCAGTACCGACAGATGGGCCTACGGGGCTTCGAGATCAACGCACCGTGCCCACAACGAAACGAACGACCACATGACATTGTCGACTACCTCGCGGGAGTGCAGACGACACCACGACTTATGGTTTGCCGCCACCAGGCCGCTCTCCTCACCGCGCCGCGGGCACTACACCGGCCCTGCTCTGGGCCGCTCTCCAAGCCTTTAACCGGAAAACTAAGGGCAGTAACCCATGGAGGTGTGGTTGCTGTACAATGAACTAAACAAGATTCGCCGCCACCGCTGACGGTTACGCTACAACAAAATCGAAAGCCCCCGCTGCAAGACAAAAAGCGTCTTGACGTCGAACCTTCGCAACATGAAGACGTCACGACGCAGCAACGTGGAAGAATTGGAACAAATAGGCGTAGCCGTAATCCAACGTCACGACCAAACTGCAACGCACGACGAGGAACCAGCGACCTTGACATAATATTCGACGGCCACCTTGTCAATGTTCTCGTTGATACTGGAGCCGCCTATTCTGTCATCAGTGGACCTTTCGCGACAAAGTTGAAAGAAGCGAAAACTGCATGGCAAGGCCCAGAAATTCGAACCGCTGGAGGTCACTTAATAATGCCGACTGGAGTGTGCATAGCAAGGGTCACCTTAAATAACCAGACTTATAATGCGAGCTTTGGAATCTTACAAAATTGCTCCAGGAATGTGATACTTGAATGGACTTTCTAAGTCAACACGGCGCTGTCATCGACCCGAGGTCTGAGTCAATCACACTAACCTCAGAAAACACGCTGCTGACCCCTACAAAAGCCAAGGGATCACGCATTGAATGTGCTAGAAGAGCAGGTCACCATGCCGCCATTCTCCAGCATCGTCATTTCCATAGGAACCGAAAAAGCCGAAAACCTTGAAGGCATTATCGAAGGTTATCAACACCTTCTTCTAAACTGTCAGATTCGCGTCGCAAGAGACATAGCTAAGCTGCGTGACAGCAAAGCAGAGGTGGTGCTGACAAACTTCGGTCACAGATACAGGCACCATCGTGGTATGACAGTTGGCCACATCGACGAATTCGTGGAGGCGAGCAATTCATTTGCCTTCTTCGATGCTGCCGACCCTGCTTTGACTAATCGAGGTCTCGAACCAAATTTCTACGTCAACCCGAGTCTTTCAAAGTGCAAGCAAGATCAGCTCAAGTACCTTGCAAATCAAGGACTGCTTCTTGTCATCATCGAGAATTCGACAAACCCAATCGCTAAACATCTCATCATAACAGAACAAAGTGCCCGACCAGTTCGACAGCCCCGCCGCGGTGGTCTAGTGGCTAAGGTACTCGGCTCCTGACCCGCAGGTCGCGGGTTCGAATCCCGGCTGCGGCGGCTGCATTTCCGATGGCAGGCGGAAATGATTGTAGGCCCGTGTGCTCAGATTTGGGTGCACGTTAAAGAACCCCAGGTGGTCGAAATTTCCGGAGCCCTCCACTACGGCGTCTCTCATAATCATATGGTGGTTTTGGGACGTTAAACCCCCCATATCAAAACCAGTTCGACAAAAGCCGTACCGCGTCTTGATGCGTGAACGCTACGCCGTGAAGAAACAAGTCGACGAAATGCTACGCGACGACAGCATTCAGCCGTCCAAGCGTCCGTGAGTGTCACCCATGGCATAAGTGAAGAAGAAAGACCGGACGTTTTTGTGTCAATTACCGACGCCTGAACAAAATTGCAAAGAGGGGCGTGTACCCTTTTCCACATAGAGACGGCGCCCTGCACCAACTCCACAGCGGGAAATACTTTTCTTCAATGGACCTCAAAACGGGCTATTGGCAAACTTAGATTGACGAGAGAGATCGAGAGAAGAGGGCTTTTATCTCTCCAGACGGCCTCTTCGAGTTTAAGGTCATGCCATTTGGTCTTTGCTCGGCGTCTATGACGTTTCAGCACGTTATGGATACCGTGCTAGCTGGATATGGAAATGGTAGACTTGCCTCGTGTACTTGGGATGACGTCGTCATGCTTTCCTCGAGCTTCGACGAGCATATATGGCGCCTTGAAGAGGTACTTCAAGTTATCGGAACATCTGGGCTAAGCCTGAAGCCACAAATGTGCCGCTTTGCGTACGAGGAGCTGTTGTTTCTGGGACACAAAATTAGCAACTCTGGAGTCCATCTGGACCCGCGGGAAAACAGCCGCCATCACTCATTTCCCGCAACCGACTGACAAGAAGGCTGTACGCTGATTCCTCGGATTGTGCGCCTATTACAGACGCTTCGTCAAGCATTTTTCACAAATCACCGAGTCGCTAACTCACCTCACGGAAAGCAACGTCAAATTCAGGTGGGAAGCTGCACAAGAGGAAGCATTTCAAGAACTTAAACGACGCCTCCAGACATCACCGACACTTGCGCATATCGATGAACAAGCTGAAACAGAAGTACACACCGATGCAAGCAGCGTAAGACTCGACGCCGCCCTTGTGCAGAGGACTGACTGCGTAGAAGGGGTTATCAGTTATACTAGCTGGTCGCTATCCAAAGCGGAAGCCAACTATTTCACAAAAAAGA